AGGGTCAATGACCCCTGGATTGGGCAAACCTGAAAACTGGGGAGTCACCAAAGTCTGCCAGGGACAGATAAAAGGCAGTGAAAAGTGACCCTCAGTGGCGCCCTCTTGATCTCCAACTCGACCAGACCTGTCCAGCCAGAAGGACCAGCTGGCGACCCCCTTCTGGAAGATAACACCACGCTGAAAGAAGCCTCAACGACAGACTCCAGCGCTTGTAGGATAGGTATACCTGCCTCTGTAGCCTGCTACTGTGTGTGTGTGTATGCGTGTGCATGTGTGCATGTGTGTGTAGGGACCAGCCCCAAGGTTTATGATTACAGTGTTTCAATTCACCTAATAAACTAGAATTTTAAGGATCCTGAGTTGGACATTTGTAGCCAACAATTGAGGGGTGGGTTTAATCATGCCTAGAAGGCCCCTTAGGTCTGCGGACTAAGGGAGACTATCCTTTCTGGCCCCCAACTTGGAGAGGTGCCCCAAGTGCTTGTATTGGGTGGAGTACCCATTGGACTATTAGGCCTGTGTTTCCCCGAGGACACAGAACCTTGAAGGTCCCCTCTCGGGGTGGTGGCAGCACATTACCCCTGGACTCTGCGGTGGGGCTCGAAAGGGGATCTGCCAGGGCTTAGGCGCCCCTGGAGAGACACGTGGAGTACAGAAGGTAGATGGGTGTAGTGAGGTGGGAGGTTCAATGCAGGAGCTCCCCCTACTGGCCTGCCACAGGGGGTGGGTGAAATATTGACAAAAAAGTCAACATTTTCAGTTGTTGTTTTTTATCCACAGACCTTTTTCTTTGAACTCCTCCCCATTTCATTCAGGTTCACCGCAGAAGGGTTTGTTTTGCACCCTTTGCCATTTTAGCTTCTGGGCCCCTACAAGCTCCTGTTTGTTCACATCATGTGAAGCAATGTTATGAAGGGAGGAGACAGTGAAGGGACAGAGAGGTCTCAAGATAACATGTTGAAAGACGGCATAGCACAACAAATCTTCCCCCAGAAACTGTAACAACAGCAGGGGGGGAAATAATCTTCCCAGCCCAATGTGGCCACTAGCAAAATCCAGAAGCCTAAGGGAAAAAATAAACCCAACAATCTCCCTTCTGCCCTGCACTCTGGGAATAGCAAGGATAACTCCATGTGTTATGCCCTCTAACCAGAGAGCCAGAACTCCCCATTCTATAATCCTAACCTTTCCATCTACTTATCCCAGCTCCATTAATCGACTTTGGCAACATGGAGCTGTTTCAGTCTCCTGTTGCTGAGCATGGACCTCCCCAATATTCAAAGAATCATAGAAGTAGGGTTGGAAGAGACCTTGTAGATCTTCAAGTCCGACCCTCTGCCTGGGCAGGAGAAACTGGGCTCAATTGACCCCAGTCAGGTAGGCATCAAGCCACCTCTTAAAGACCCCCAGGGTAGGAGCCAGCACCACTTCCCTTGGAAGTTGGTTCCAGATCCTAGCCGCCCTGGCTGTGAAGTAGTTTTTATGGATGTCTAATCTAAACCTACTCTCCAACAACTTGTGGCCGTTATTCCTTGTTATCCCGGTGGGCGCTAGGGGAAACAAGGTCTCCCCCAAACCCTTCCGGTCCCCCCTAGTGAGTTTATAGACGGTCATCAGGTCCCGTCTATTCACTTGCTCTTGGATGCAGAGCTCTTCTCATGATCTCCCAGTGATCCATGGGGGAGATGGAGGGTGCTCCTGAGCTTCCAATTGTTGCACTTTACAGAGCACTCCAGGCATAGCTACTCCTAGATAATCCCCGACCAATGCTTATCCAACTTCTTGCAAACCTCCCGTGATGGAGTTTCCACAACTTCCCTATGCAATCTATTCCACTGCCTCACTCTTCTGACAATAGAGTCGTTCTTTTCCTGATACCCAACCTAAACTTACTTTGCAACTTAAAGCCACTAGTATATGCCCTACTCTCTTCAGTGATGAAGGAAAGGTTTTCCCCTCTCTATTATAGTAGGTCTTCAGAAATTTGAAGACGGTCATCATGTCCCTTCTTAGTTGCCTTTTCTGTAAATTGAGCACACCTATTAGCTTCAATTTTATCTATTATAGCTTACCTTCCAAACCCTTGATCATTTTGGTCACATGTCTGTACTTTATCCACGCCCTCTTTAAAATGCACAGCCTAAAACTGCATGCAATACTCTGAATGCTGTCTAACCAGTACCAAGTAAAAAGTAACTATTACTTCCTGTGCCTTGTACCTAATATTGATACAGTTTAAAATGGTACTGGTCTTCTTTGCAAAACTGTGTTAGCCTGTCGGTGTTTCAATTAGTCTCTGTTTTGTTCTGGGCAGCTCTTTTGCTTTCACTTGTGTTTGCGTGAGCAATGTATTTTGGAATCCCAGAAATAAGGAATAACAACAGAGGCTGGTTGAACAACTCTGAACATAAAAGTCTTTACAAATACTGTCCCTTTTCACTTGGGAAATCAGTCTTAAAGAAATCCAAATGTATTTTCTTTGACTATCTTTGTTATTCATAAGTAAGCACTGAATACATTTGGTGAATGATTTTCACATTGTATGCTGTTCTTACATTTGCTGTGCCCATTTGCTGTTTCTTATTTGGAATGAGCAGTTTGTAGAATTAAGATGCATGTTTTTTTGCCCCTGAAGCAGCGGCTAAACTAGTTTTGAGAGGAGAATAATAAATATTTAATATTCTGTTAAGAAGAGACTGGCAAATAATCACTGGTGGTTAACATACATAAAAATTGCAAGAGTTCTAAATATTGCAACAATTTCCCAGGGCTTGTTCAAAATCTCACAAATAATTAGAAGTATCCCCTCTTATCCTCCCCTGGTGACCATTTTCTATGAAAAAAGTCTCAAAACAAATTTTAAAAAAATTCCAATTTGCAAAATGTTTGGACCAATTTGGCAAATCAGGACATAGAACCATACCCCTCACATTGGTCTATGAAAGATACACTAAGGATTGGTGATCTGGAAAAACAAACAAAAAAAAAAAAGGTAGAGTCTTTCTACCATGCAGTCAGCTAAGTAAATAAAATAAGGACTATGTTTTACATATGTGTGTTATCTTGCCAGTATTGGATCATTAAGGTGAATGTAAATGTGGCAAACATGGGTCAGTTCAGGTTGAGCAGTTAACTTCACAGTCACAAAGCAACTGCCTGATCATTTTCTATTCATTTTATTTTTTTTAAACACAATCATTCTGCACTAACTCACAGGCTGCAAAATTAAGAGATATGAATCTCTTGGGGGATTTTTTTTTTTTAATTGTTTGCAGAGGCTCAATTTAGTGTAATTCCAAAGGTCCAGCAACACCCAGAGGTACCAGGGCTCTCGAGCCTCGCAAAACTGCTTGTGTCCAGGAAGAGAAGCACAGGGAGAACGATACAGAGATGGGAGGGGGCAGAGAAAGATTTTTATTGGAAGCTGTTAAAGTGGTTGCTATGAGACCTTCTCCAGCTAACACAGGAACAGCAGCGAGTGTGAGGCTGATAAAACGTACCTCTCGTGTTATACCTTTCTTTTTCTGCGCTCTTTTTTTATAGTTGTCTAAGATCAGAGCAAGCACCTGTCAGTTGCTTTTTCTTCCCTCTTCCTCTCCTCTGCTCCCTTGTGCAAAATGGAGCTAGAAAATGAAACGATCAGCACCTCCAGCAATTCATCAGGAGGCTCCAGGGAGTACAAGGTGGTGATGCTGGGAGCAGGGGGAGTTGGCAAAAGCGGTAAGTTTTGAGTCGCAGCATTTGGGGGAGAAGGGGTGAACTGGAGTGCAAACTTCTAAGAACAAGAACGGGCTGATACGGGGCTCCCCCCTTCCTTCTGCTTGAGTTGGCTTGAATAAAAAGGAGTCAAAATTAATGACTGGGGCAATGAGTCAGCTTAATTTTGCTACGGGGGGAAAAAAAAAAAGACAACATTTCTTTTAGATCAGCCTGTTCTCTCTATACTTCAGGCACTGGCGTGTCTGCCGCTGCTAGCTTGCTGTTCAGTTCTCAAAGTGGTAATGCCACTATGATACTTTTTAAGGGGTACCAGGATGTTGTGCAAGGTGGGTGTAGCTTATTGACTTGTGAATCCTCCTTCCTAGATGAGACTTGTGAAAGACCACATGGGAAACTAGCTTCAAAGTCAGCTCCACAGTGCAAAGTGAGGAGTGTGCCCAGAGTTACTGTACTTACACATCTCTTCTCTGGACTTCTTAACTATGTGGTGTCATGACTCAGCTGGTGGCCCTCATCTCCCGTCTGGAAAGTTATAGGATGCATGTTTGAGTCTCACTCCTGGCGATAAGGCTGCTATGCTGTATGTTTTAATATCGCTGTCCAGTTTTGGCAAGCTTTGCTATTGTCTAGCAGTGGCATCTCCTCAGCAGAGTCATTATTTTTCCCTGGACAAAGTTTTATTTTTCGCAGATATTATCACCCTTTGATTTATTCTTCCTGACAGTAACAATCCCTGATCTTAAAATGACTTTGCTGAGCATGCAGTGTCTGTCTGGGTAGCCGGTATATTGAACCCTGCACAACAAGAATATAATTGCATCAATGGGAAATTACAATAAAATGGTGATATGGTTTTATACAGCCTCAGCTCCAAATGAGTGCAGGATAAGTTTAGGACAGCCAAGATAAATAGGCTGTGAAACTAAACTGTACTGCTAATATAGAACAGCCCTGCTTTGTTTCCCAGCTATACAGTGAGAGTGATGAACAACCACCTTTTAAGTAAAGGAGTCTAATGGTTCTACATATCCATATTCTTTATTCTAGCATTCAGTTTGACTTCAGTTTTAGGGCCACATCCGTCACCTAAAAGACGTGTTCCTCGTCAATATGTGTAATTAAGTAAATAACACTGTTTGCACTAATTAATCCTGAAAATTCACTGCTCTTCTCTGTATGCGAATGGGGGAGGGGGGGCAGGCGAAGAGGGGAACAAAACAAAACAGGTTACTTGCACTCACTTGCTTCCTGTAATTCTGAACTCACTTTTGTATTACAAGCCAGGTCTCAGTAAAACACGCTTCTGATGCAACTTCCAGCATGATCTGTTTTGCTTAGACTATCCAAAAGGTGGCAGTAATTTTTTTTCCCCATTCTGTCTTTGCAAACATCTTTTAATTTAAAAGAAAGGTTCCCCATGAAGAATGACACTTCAAAGTAGCGATGTTTATGTTGTTATATTCATAATGGAGTTGGATCAGGAGGAAATAATTTTGGATCCAATTTACAGAAACTTCAAAGGATTAATCACGTCTGTTTAGAGAAGCATCTGAAGGATCAGATGCCTACATGAATCTTGCTCCAAATTATTCAAATCGTCTTGGCCTGGAAATTAGATTGGTGATTTTGTGAGAACAAGGCTTCTTTAGTATCTTGACATTTCCTGATCCAGCCCTGGCAGGAAACAAACAGTGTAAATTAATTTAATGGCCATTTTCCTGTGCCTTCCTCGCAGTGACTCTGGCCTTACACGACAAGTAGCTTCTTTGCTACTAATCATACCAGAAGTTACTGTGCAATAGGAATATTATAGTCTATGAATGATTACTGGGTGAAGTCCAGGGAAATCCTTATTGCATGCACAATATATGTTTATATTATAATTACCTCCCTGATACAAGCCACACGTATATTGAGTCTCTATGTCTCAATAGTCCAGCTTGGTTAGATTTGAAAACTATCCAAAGGCTTACAGAGATCATGACTGTAGTATAAAACCAGTGGGTATGTCTACATGTGCAATTAATTTGAAACAATTAACCAGATCCAGAGCAAAACTACTTCAGGTGCACCATCTACATGTGCACCTGGGATAGCAGCAATTTGAGCTGGGGCAGAACAGTTTAAGCCAGGGCTGCTCCTGCCCTCCTCTGCCCCAGGCCCTGGGAGGCAGCACTGGGAGCAGAGGGGCTGGCTGGGGTATGAGGGTGCTGAAAGTGTAGAGCAGTGTGGATAGGTGGTAGGCAGGAGCCAGGCCCACTGCTGCCTGGGCTGACAGGTCACAATTTTTGCCCAAGGTCAGTGTCTACATGTGGGTTTAATCACAGTTAATTACTCCGCGGCAATATAGTACTATCCCCAGTACTATCTTACAGTGGTGTTAATTAGTTTGCTGTGGCCTAATAACATCACACATATAGACGTTGACATTTAACTCTGTAGCTAATGCAATTGCCCTGGAGACGTCTCAAAAGAACTTAGGTGGTTCTAGGTTTCTGTTGCATTTGTCCAAGGAAATTAATGACTCAAGCTACAACTGTGAGAAAGGATAAGTAGAGATGGTCAAAAAAACTGAGGCTGAATTGATTCAATTTTTGCAGGTTAGTCTAAGCCATTTTGATTCTGGAAATACAGCCACATGCCTGCTGTGGCCCAGGGCAGAAGTCAGGGGGCACTAGAGCATGCCTCCCTACTGGCTGAAGCAGATGGCTTGGGCCAACTGCCCACCCTGTGAGGAAGGGGCTTGTGGGGGAGGTGCAAAGCATCCTGGGATACTGGGGGACTTGAATTTGGAGGGGATGTGGGACAGAAGTTCAGTAACCTGAATTAACCTAAATCAGTTGAGTCTGATACTACATCCATGCAGGTTTATCTTAAACTGGTTTGGGCCATTTTGAAAACATTTATGTGCACTGAACTTCCATTGTGATAAAGATTTTCTGATCACTTATACTGGTTTGTGTGTAATTTCTGTCCCTAACCAAAGAGTACTGCCAGACTGGCAGGCACAGAATATATTAGAAACAAAGTAAATCTATACCTGCATTGGCATTAGCAGATTCCACAGACAGTAACTTTAGATTCACATATGTAGATTCAACAAATTCACATATCTTACAGTTTCCAACCAAATTTTGCAAAGCCAAACTTTTTTAGTTTTTATATTAACTGCAACAAGCTCAACTACTGAAATGATCTTTACCATCACAAAACTGATTGGTTATAGTTTCAGGGCCCAGGTATCTTTATACCTATACAACATTAATGAGAATGGTATAATTGAAACCAGAATTTTAATAAAAACCATGAAAAATATTTAAAATAAAATACCAGAATGTATTAAAAAATACCTCATCTCAGAATTTAAACCAAGTTTCTGATCAAGTCTAGGAATAGTTGTGAACTAACTTAAGACATTGATTTATTTTTTAAAATCATGAGATGCTTGTTTTTAACCAAAAGGGAGAAAAAAGTGAAAGCAAGGTCATGATTTTTTCAAATATTGAACCTCAAAGTCAGATATAGGATTGTATGAACCCATATATTTCAATGCCTAAATTATAACTTATATACAGACCTCTGCGAAGATTGTTATAAATGTCAGGGGGACAAAATGAGGCCAGAAGTCAACTTAAAATTGAGTTGTTATCAATAAAACTGACAGATTCCCTCTGAAAAATCTTGTTACTCAGAAAGATGAACCATAAAAAGGAACCACAAACCTGTGGTTTTTCAGTACTGGGTAAAGTCATGGTAGGGATTTTAAAACAACCACCTCACTGTGGTTTTAGTTTTAGATTACAACATAAAAATGTCAAGGATTTCTTCAGTTCTGGTTTGGTTGTTGTTGAGGTGTCATTTCCACCCAGCCCCACATGAGATTTTGTCTAATATAGAATCATGGAGAAGTAGAACTGGAAGAGACCTCGTTTACTCCAACCCCTTGCCCCTAGGACAGGATCATCCCTCTTCAAACCACAAATACACTGTCCAACCTCTTTGCAACACTAAACAGTCAGCCTGACCCAACACAAGACATAACACCCTAATCTGCCAATGCTAAAGCAGGGTGACCACATGGACAATGTCATGCTGCTACAAAGACTGTTAAAAATATGTTCAAGATATCCCAAGAAGAGGGCTATGCCCTCTGCTACAAAGGAAAGCAAAAATCCCTACAGTCCATACCAATCTGACTATGGGGTAAAATTATTTCCTGACCCCAAATATGACAAAACACTCAGACAAGCAGCTAGTATCTCAATAGTTGCATCATTCAGTGGAGAAAAAAAAATAGTCTTACAGAAATACCTTTTTTCACTATAAATTTTAAGGCATTCAAGTTCGCACAAGTGCAGGGCGACTGGACCCAGTGATCCCTAAGGTCCCTTCCAGCCCTTAACAACTAAGAAACTATGAAACTATGAAAACCTACCCCTTGCTAAAATCACGGTATATCACATCCACTGCTCTCCCCACATCCACAGAGCCAGTCATCTTATCATAGGAGGAAAATTGGTTCATTGGGCATGACTTCTCAATCTATGCTGGCTGTTCCTGATCATCTTGGGCGGATGAGTACAGGATTGGTTTCAACACTGACAAGTGCAAGGTGCTGCACCTGGGGAGGAAGAACCAGCAGCTTACCTATAGGCTGGGGAACTCCCTTCTCGTCAGTGCAGAGGCAGAAAAGGATCTCAGAGTCAGTGTTGATGCCAAAATGAACATGGGCTGGCGGTGTGGGGACATGGTCAGGAAGGATAACCATACCTTGTCATGCATCCACAGATGTATCTCAAGCAGGGCCAAGGAGGTGATCTTCCCCCTCTATGCAACACTGGTCAGGCCGCAGTTGGAGTACTGCGTCCAGTTCTCAGCACCGCACTTCATGAGGGATGTAGACAACATGGAGAGGGTCCAAAAGAGGGCCACTTGCATGATCCTGGGGAAGATCTTAGAAAAGTTTATTAAAGAGGCCATACTTAATGGACTGGCCGACG